AGAATTGGTGACCTTTTTCCATATCTTTTTTCATCTGAAGTGTTAAAACAACCACAGGCATTTCCATCTTTTGAAGGAAGTGTACTTTTGGCATAGCCAGAAAGCCACTTCATAAAACAGTGCTTTTCTGCACTTTCACTTCCCTGGCATTTCCAAGTAGTAGAAGTTCACAGCGAGATTCAATGCATGAAAGTCACAATAGTTTCTAAATTCGTGCAAAGTCCCAAACTTTGTGTTTTATTTTGGGACTCATGGCCACATGAGCAGGAACAGGAGTCCTCAGGACATGCTGTCTGTATGGTTGCTCACCCTGCCAGGTGGGAGCCCCAAGGTGTTCCAAACCACAGGTTGGACTCTCCACACCCCCACCATGTCTCCCCTCCCGCTTTTGTGACTTTTGAACAGATGAGTTTGGGTCCTTCTCCGTAAAGTGGCATACGTGGGAGCTGGCACATTGCACATCCTTCTCTCAGCCTCGGGGCTTTTTATCCTGCAGTTCAATGAGCACCGTCAGAAGAATGAGGAAGAACAGGATTGGGAGCAAAGGACACACAAGGCACCTGGGAAAGCACTGTTTTCAGCTATGTAACCTTCCTTACACATGTTTTTTTCCTTGCCCTGCTTTACTTCCATTAGGAAAGCTGCATGGCAGCCCAAACTTTGTGCTGCAGCTGAGAGTTTGCTGGGTGATGCATCCAGCCGTACACATTCCTTTCTGTGGTGCAGGAAGGGGGATTCAGAAAATATGCCTGAATTAGCTTCAAGCCTCTGGGCGCATAACTGTATCCCCGGCCAGTGGTAACACTTGTGTTGTAAAATCCTTTTTCCTAGGCTCACGGACCGTCTCTGGGATCAGATACACCGTCTCTGGGATAACGGAACCAAACTGGCTCATGAACTCCAGAACAACAATGTGCTACAGCAACGGCAGTGAGGTAATTGACCTGGTTCGCGTCACATTTTTCCAGCCTTTATATATCATTGTACTTCTTTTTCTGCCTCGTAAACGGGTGCTGCAGTTGCTGCAGGGGAATGAAGCTGACGGGTGCTTTTCACGGTCTCAGGACACGCAGGGTAAAGAAACACCGTTAGCGAGGGAAGCTGCGGCGCTTCGGGGCTGAGCCACCACCAGATGGCAGCTGGAGTCCAGGGATGAGGCAGCCCCAAGGGCCGGCTC